CGGCGTTTTACCGCCACCTAACTTTTATTATTCCATTCGGTTTTCATCGGTGGAAATTCTTTATTCTCGACCGTGGAGCTTTTTCGTAAAATTATCCAGAAGGAGCACGTGGATTTGTGTGCGGTTTCGTAGTGAGATTTCGATCAAAGTGTCTTGGGTCTGGGCGCAGGAAACAGGAAAATGGAAAATGGGCCACGCTGATGAGGCGAGATTCGAGGGTATTTTCTCTCTCTTTCTCGAGAGCAAGAATCGTTCGAGATGGATAATGACGTTCCTTTTTTTTAATTGGAACGCTCGCCGTGCAGTTAGTTTCGTTGTTGTACGTAGCAAAGTACACTTTTCATGCTTTGATATTTTGTGTACGAGGATATTCGAATTTTGATTACTACGTTAATATCAGAATATTATCGAATAGGTATCGTGTAATTTAAAATATAATGCGCTGGATGATTGAAAGTTGAAGTGCAAGCAATTATGAATGTAATTGGATATACACGTGATTGTACACGTATCTAAATAGAAACTAAAAGGTTATAATTTTGATGAAGGTACTTGTTGGATACCTTTGATTAATCTTATTAATTTTACGTATTATTTTACGATTATTATTTTATAATACGAAAAAAATAAATGCGAACAAATGCAGTTAACGAAGATAATTGAGAATTAATAAAATGTCACGAAGATACAAATTTCAATTTTAACGGATAAACGTGCACGTCCCAGACAATTACAAAAATAATGCATTTACCGAAAAATATAAAATTTGTATGTATAAAATTTTTGTCTAATAAAAATTTCGTATATATAAAGAATAAAAAAAAAAAAAAAAAAAAAAAACTCATTTCCTTTCAATTTTTTGAATTTACCGATTTTTAAATTTTTTTTTCCTTTACCCAAAAACCGATTTATAAATGATTTTGTTTTTCGACTGGAAAGGGTTAAAAGTGTACACCTTGGCCGAATTTTTTTTTTTAAAAAAAAAAAAAAAAAAAAACTCATTTCCTTTCAATTTTTTGAATTTACCGATTTTTAAATTTTTTTTTCCTTTACCCAAAAACCGATTTATAAATGATTTTGTTTTTCGACTGGAAAGGGTTAAAAGTGTACACCTTGGCCGAATTTTTTTTTTTAAAAAAAAAAAAAAAAAAAAACTCATTTCCTTTCAATTTTTTGAATTTACCGATTTTTAAATTTTTTTTTCCTTTACCCAAAAACCGATTTATAAATGATTTTGTTTTTCGACTGGAAAGGGTTAAAAGTGTACACCTTGGCCGAATTTTTTTTTTTAAAAAAAAAAAAAAAAAAAAACTCATTTCCTTTCAATTTTTTGAATTTACCGATTTTTAAATTTTTTTTTCCTTTACCCAAAAACCGATTTATAAATGATTTTGTTTTTCGAATGGAAAGGGTTAAAAATGTTCCCGTTGGCCGAATTTTTTTTTTCAAAAAAAAAAAAAAAAAAAAGGAAACACAGAGTTGGATTTCATTGTTGGGTGACGAGTAACACGTTAACCAAACTGACCTGGTATCCCTATTACACTTGCATATAACACAGCCTCGTTGAAGTTGATTGATATTGCACACGGTTTATGCAAATTCCCTTAAAACGAGGCTCACATGTTCAAGGTTGAATCGCAAAATGGGATCGCGGGGATCCGATCGAGATAAATCCCGAGGTTGAATTCGTTACGAAATATGACCTGTTGTCGAGTTATACAGGAATATTTGTGTCCGTGTTTTCGCGATTGGAAACATAAAAAAAAATTATACATTTTTCATTTTTTTCGACGATGCTTGTCCAATACAATTTTGGATTCAATTGTTTCGATATTCGAATACAGATATAAATATCAACGTTAAATCGATCAACGACACGTGTAGGATGGTTTTTAAAATTGGTTTTTGAAGGATGATGGTACAATCGCAAGATCGTTCATTACTATATTTCTCATTTTTCTAGAATCTTTTACGGATGGAATTTTATTTGTTATAGTCACATTTTTAAAATTACTTCTCAAAGGGATCTTCCAAAAACGATCTACTTTCGCAAAAATATTTCGTACGAAAAGGAGCGTGCGAGTAAAATTTTTGCTACCATTAAAAACCTACATTGGAACGGAACACAATGGAAAATAATTTCAGTTTATTTTTTCCTCCCCTACAACTGGGATGGCAACTAAGTCGAGTCGAGATTGTCAACAATCCCCGAAAGATATATAGCACAGATCGATTTTCACGGGGATATTTCGTGTCGAAGCCATCGTTCTCGATCGATGGAGAGAGAAAGAGAGAGAGAGAGAGGAAGAGAGAGAAACGACAAAGGCCACGGATAGAGCCCCTCTCCTCGACCGAGTTTATTTAACGTCACTTCCACGAGCTCTCCTTTCCAACAGTTGCGGAGATTCACCGTCTTCCAAAACATTTAATTTGACGTTTTCAGCTTGGAAAACGGCTTTCAACCGGGTACAATTTCTGCAAAGGAAGTAACGTCCGCTCTCTTACTGCTTAAAACGCAGTAATCCGCGATGATGAACCATGGAGACAATTTACAATCGCGAAAGAAAGAAGGAAATTTCTTATTTCTTTATTTTCTTGCCTCCACTCTAAAAGATACTCTTCTGGATAGTCTTCAAGATAGTTGATACTTTCGCGTGAATATTTAATTAAACTTCCCTCGCGTGAAAAATAATAAAGTATATATAAGCTTCTTCGAAGAGAAAATTTCATAAAAAAAAACTTATTAAAATTATTTTTTGTTTATCGATAATTTGTCTCGAATCAATTGGACCGATTGATTGAAAAGGAAAACATTTCAAGAGATTCAAATTCTATAAGTAGAAATATATATATATATAAATTCACTTAATACCATTTTCCAGAACAAACGATCCAATTAATATAAATAATAAGAAACAATTGGCCGAATTATATTTTCAACGCATCGTTGTACGTTCCATAAATTCATCGGGAAGCAGTGGTTAATCACGAGCAATACAGAAGTCAGCCCGGTCGAGGAAAGGTAATAACTACCCCTTTCGAGGATATGGTGGTGGAGGAGGGGGCGATACGAAGGACAGAATCGAATCGATCCGAGTTATTGTGCTCTGCGACGTGTAGTGTGGGTGGAGAACAATCGCGGACAAACCGTGAAGACGACCGTGATGGA